CAGGATCCTTCATTGGGAAACTACTCTTCAAGGTGACAATAATATTTTGATCACTCTTGCATAATTTCCAATTACTATAATATCATTAATGTAGATTAACACGAAGGTTTAGTCTTTTAAACCAAAGAGAAATCAACAACTAAATTCTGGAAACCCATATAATGTAGAGCTCCTTTAATTTTAGCTAGTGAACTATGTTGTAGAAGCTCGTCTTAGACCATATATTGCCTTGTTCAGTTTTCATACAAGAGGCTTACCAGTTTTGGAGAGAGTTTCAAAACCTGGAGGTTGTCTCATATAAACATTTTCTTCTAGATCTCCATGTAAAAAGGCATTTCTCACATTCAGTTATTTAATGTTCCAACCAAAATTCACAGCAAGAGTAAGAATTATCCTCATGATAGTTGTCTTGACCACAGGACTGAATGTCTCCTTAAAATCAAAACATGTTGTTTGTGAATACCCTTGGGCCACCAACTTTGCTTTGTATTTGCTTATTGTGTTATCAAGGTTCTTCTTAAGTTTAAACACCCACTTGTTGCCTACTATATTGCATCCTGTAGGTATAGGGACCACATCCCAGGTTTTTTTATGTATCAAAGCTTAAAACTCATTTTCCATAGCATTCTTCCATTTTGGATCCTTGATAGCCTCAACTAGAGACTGTGGCTCATTTGGTAGAACGATTGCATTGTACACCTTGGGATTGTAGATTTCTCTCTTTGACCTGGTAACCATAGGATGAGTAAATACATTAGCAGCATCAATGTTATTCACATGTTCACAATGTTGATGAGATCTAATATCCATCATTGGCAAATGAAGGGATGGTAGAATTTGAGTGAGAGTTTGAGGGACTGGATGAAGGAGAATGATATGATCTTGGATTGGGTGTAGTCATAGACTGAGGTGAATGTTGAAGATCATTGTTAGGAGGCTGAGTTGAAGGCTCATGGTAAGTATGAGAAAAATCAATAGCACAAATGGCAGCATTAGAACTCAAGTTTGTTGGACATGCTTCTTTAGTAAATGGTGAGAGTTTCTATTTGTAAGGAGAAATGTTCTCATTTAAAATGATCAGTTTTCCCTTGGGCAAGAGAACCTTATAACCTTATGATGATACTATATCTAATAAAAGGTTCCATGGGTGAATGTAAATTGGAGCTTGTGTTTTTCTGTATGGTCTGACAAGAGAAAAACACAAACAACCAAAAGCTTTGAGCATGTGCGAATTGTGTTTGTGACCATAAAGGATTTCTAGAGGTGTGTTGTAGGCAAGAATTCTGGTTGGAATTCTAGTGATGAGATAACAAGAGGTAACAAAAGCATCATCCCAAAAAATCATAGGCAAAAATAACTGAGCTACAAAGACAAACCCATGTATACTACGTCTATGTTTTCTTTCAGCTATCCCATTCTATTAAGAAGTGTGAGGAAAAAAAGTGTCTGTTGTATCCCATTATCAATAAAGAACTTACTCAAAGATCTAAATTCACTCTTTGTCAGTTTGGACAGATTTGACAGTTCTATTAAGTTGATTGTCTGCAAGCTTTATGAAGTGAAGGAAGGGATTGTAGTTATCAAATTTATGCTTGAGAAGATAAGGCCAATTGAACCAACTATAAGGATCAATAAATGTAACATAATAGAGATAGCCGTTTCTGGATTTTGTAGAAGAAGGACCTCATATATCTGAGTGAATATGCTCAAGAGGTTCATCACAAACAGTTTCAGAATGCGAATAATGCAGTCCGTGTGCTTTAGCCCATAAACAACAGGAACAGGGATCATTCATTTCATTATCTTCAAAAGGAACATTACAATGTTTCAAAGCTCTTATTACAACAACATAAGATGAATGATCCCGTATTTTGTGCCATAATTCTAGGTCACACTTCTAAGAGTGAGAAACTACAGAAGCTGCATAAGTACTAGGCTAAATAGATTTGAAGGTTCTAAGGTTGAGAAGTACTGAGTCTGTCTTTGACTAGTGAGGTTGAATTGGTAAAGACCAACTTTAACAGTTCCTTTGAGGAGTTTTTGGTGGGTAGCCTGATCCTTGACAACAGAAGAGTTAGGATGACATTCTTTGTCTTGAGGGTAAGTCATTAAGCCCCTTATAAATAAGAGATCTAGGTTTTATTTCTATAATAAGCTCTTAACATTATTCGATAAACATATATAAAGACTATAAGTTTTTTTAACTTGAGCATCGGAGTGTCTACGCTGGGCCCCTGCCTCTGACGCTTTACTGGTCGATCTGATTCACAGAGAAGAAGGAGTTTTTTTTTTTTTAGTTTAAAGATTCTAGAGGCGTAAGGAGATGTAATTTAAGTTGTACCAATATGAAAAATAGACTCACCAACTCTATTACCCATGTGTAGTATGTTGGCTCCTTCATATTCTAAAACATTAGAGAGACTGCTCAAATAATTTAAGTTGTGGTTTGTAGCTCCTGAATCGGGTACCAAGTAGCTTCAAAGTTTCTTTTAAGCTAATGCTAGGAGAAGGAGGAGGAGGCAATTGAGCCAAATAAAGAGCTGGATTTCTGGTGAAGTTGTTGGTATACATTATTTTTATTCTAAGTTGGTGAGCTGTTTTGCTGTTTGAAGGGACAAAGATGGAATGTACCAACATCTATTAGGTGTGTGTCTTATGACCCTACAAACTTGGCATACACTTCTTCCACGACCTCCTATGCCTTTAAAGCTTCCTCTAGACCTTCCTCTACCTCTAAAACCACCCTTTTCTCGTACTTGGTTAATGTTGTTGTTCTAATTTTTTTTACTGATTCCCTTGAGTTGCTATGTTGAGGGATGGTTGAGATCCATATGGATTCACATTTCCACCATTGTTTTTGTAGTAGCAGCCTCTAGCCATGATTCATAACTGAGCAGCAAGTCTTAGACATCCGTAATAGACCAAGTATGATGTAACAGTAATCGTCACTGGATCATATTCACTACCCAAGCATGAGGTAATATGCAGGATCTGATCTTTTTCAAAGTCTTTAACTCCTATTTATGCCAACATGTCAAAACAGTCTTCATCTTGTTAAGAAATCCTGTCATACCCAAGGTTCCCTACTTCATAGCCTGAAGTGGAAGTTTGATTGGTGAAGTTTGTAGACAAAGCACACCATATTTTCTTATAAGTTTGAAGACCAACCATCTGAACAAGAAGGCTTTCAAATAGAGAAGACATCAACCATGAAACAAGTATTTGATCTTGCCTTTGATATGTGATGAACTCTGGGTTGAGGATTTGAGTTTTTTGCTATTGTATGAACTGTGATGGCTCTTGTCCTCCTACAAAGAAATGCTCAAGACCCTAGCCCTTGATGGTAATGAGAGCCTGCTGTTTTTATATGAGGTAGTTATTTTCATCTAATTTTGTGGTCCCAAGTTGATTTTGGGGGTAGATAACCCGCAGAGATGAACTGAGGTTAGGGGCTTGTCGTTGTATCGAGTTCNTAAAGAAGGATATGTGTATCATTAACAGGTAGAACCTGCTGTTATACCATGAAATAAAAACACAAGGATCATAAAGTGCAGGATGCCAACGAGAAATCCTGCCAAAGCCATTACTGAAAGCTCAATATTGATTTTTTTTTCATAGCCAACACTGTTACAGTGCTTGGGTATTAAATGTAAGGGAAAATTGCACTTTGCCTACCGAACTATCCGCGTTTTTATACTTTGCCCACTCAACTTTTTCCGGTGACACTTTACCCCTTGAACTTCACATATTCTTGCACTTAACGACTTCCGGCCACCGAAGATGCAAAATGAAGGGCAAAGTGTAAAAACGCGAATAGTTCGGCAGGCAAAGTGTACTTGTGAAGACTAATTTGAGGTGTCTCCTAAGGTGTAAATGACGATTTTTCCCTTAATTTTGCATCTCCGGTGCCGCAAGTCGTAAAGTGCTAGAATATGTGAAGTTCAAGGGGTAAAGTGTCACCGGAAAAAGTTGAGTGGGCAAAGTGTAAAAATGCGGATAGTTCGGTAGGCAAAGTGTATTTCTCCCTATGTATAATGTCTACGCTTTGTAGGATTAGAGCAAAACAATACAAGAATGACACAAGATCAATCTTAACCATTGCACCTATCATAAGGGACCACATTCTAGCAAATTCTGAGGAGAGTGAGAGAGAGAGAGAGAGAGAAAGTGTGTGTGCGTGAGAGAGAGAGAGAGAGAAAGAGAGAGAGCAACGTGTGTGTGTGTCGTTGATTTAGTGTGTGTGCATGAGAGAGAGAGAGAGAGAAAGAGAGAGAGACGTGTGTGTGTGTGTGTATGTGTGTGCGCCTGCCGATGTGTGTGTGAATATGTTGTGTGTATGTGTGAATGTGTGTTGTGTGGGTGGTGATGTAGCGTGGGACCCACTGGAGAGTGGGTTAGTTGAATGGATAATGATAATGTCCAAATTACCTCTAATGAGTGTAAGATTTTGACTTTTTTCTATTCGTTAGATCATCCACTCTAATTGTTAAGATTTATTCTTATTTATTTCATTAATAACTTTCTCACTATAACTCATCAACATATATATACTATCAAACTAAAATGTTTTATTTGAAAAATCAGCACAATTAAAAATATAATATTACATAATAATATAGGGTAAAAAACTTTTTGTCATCCAAAATATCATGGTTTTAGCGCTTTACCATATGAACTTTTTTATTTTTGGCAAACCACCATATAAACTACACGTTTGTTTCACTCTGCCCTCTAAAATCGTATTTAAAGTGGTTTTGTAAAAATTAAGCTGATTTATAAGGACATTTTGGGAATTACAAATTTTTAAAATATTGCAAAAGTACCCAAATGACAAAATCATAATTTATAAACTATTCAAATATAACAAATTAACCCCTTTTCTTTGTCAAATTCTCAACTACAAACCCATTTTTTATTCATTTTCATTTTTTTTTATTTTTTAAAAAACAACTTAAGGAAATTTGTACCCCAACCTGAAACCCGCCGGTGTCAACTAAGCCTCAATACCATTGCAAAACTTCACCATAGCACCTCAACCATAAAAAATCCCTCAGAGAGCCGACCGACCGCAATTGGAGTCTCCTCCAGCACATCTGCAAGCCGCAGCACTTCGGCAAGACCCCACGCGTCGTGATCATCACCTCCGGCAAAGGCGACAAGAACACCACCACCGCCAATATCGGCCACTCCCTCGCGCTCCTCGACTGCTTTGTCGTCACCATTGACGCAGACGTCCTCCTCAACCTCGACGATGGCGGCGGATTCGTTCGGCCGGAACAATTGTGCTCGAGGTAATTCTTGTCTGGCCCGAGCTTGCAATCGAGTTCGAAATCAGAGTCCAGAAGGTCTGGGAAATAGACGGAGAGGGGGTGCAGAATTCTCGACATTTGGTTTTCTTTAGTTTTCTTTTTTTATTTTTTATTTTTTTTAAATACTCGAAATTTCTAAAATACCATAAAAAACNAAAAGTAACAGTAAACATTTGGAGTACTTGAGCTCGAATCAATCACACATCAAGTGAAAAAAGTATGCTTCCACTATAATTAACATGTACCGTGATCCTCTCTTTTTGTAGGGCATTATTATGAGCATCCAGAGTAATTATGAATAATCAATTACACAAAACGGGTCTTATCAACTGTTTAAATTAAGCAATGATGATATTCAAAGCTACCAATAACTGTGAGTAATCACTTAAATTAACAAGTAATCATTCTTATCGCCAATGCTATAAATTAGTTATAATGAAAAAGAAAAGAGAGTCAGAAGTAACATGCATTGACTTCCTGAACCTTCTGTAACCCCCAAATTCCTCTAAAGTCATATAAATATACAGATAAATAGTAATAGTATTTCTTATTGTTTTGTTTTTAGGAGAAAATACAAATTTTTAGGTACATGTTAGTTAAACGCACCGTTCTTTGAACGTCAAATTCCTAATAACATTTGTCCTGGCTATTAGTTTCAAAATAGCTCAAACTATTTTTGCCAATTTATTAAACAAATTCTTAATTTGCCGATGACTTTGATTAGTTGTTAAAATTAATTGGGCGACAATTGGTTGTTGCAAGAAAACGGACATGAAATTTTGGCCACAACAAGAAGGTCATTACAAAACATAGATGTTTTTAATTTTGCCTTTTTGTCATGACATATTTATCATATTTCACCTTACTAATTAACAAGTTAATATATATTTCTAGTAGTTGATGGGGTAACTTTAGGATTATTCAATATTCGACTTGTTTATTTCATATAAATTATTATTTTTCTGTTTAGTATATCTAATGTGGATTGCAATACACATCTACTTCTAGTAATGTTTAACTTTTTTTCATATATTCTAGTGTACCTATTTGTGAGACGCATCCTGTGCAAGAAAAAAAAAATAATAATAATAATAAATAAAAATTAATCGCGACAATATCTATAATTTAAATATATAATTAGAATATAAATGTACCTAAATGTTAAACTATGGAGTGATTGAACATAACTAAAAATTCTCAAGTGAAAAGATAAATAAATGATCTTTTAGCACAAATGTGAACATAATAAATATAATCCCATGTGTGGAAATAATGAAAGTTGTGAAAAATATAATATCATTTTTTCATTAGAATCACAAATATTTAATCAAGCGTACAGAAAAAATTTCAAATAAATACTTTTTTACCTTTTATACATATATTTATTATTTAGTACAGAAATCTTGGCAGAAAAATATCATATTTGCTTTGATCAGAAATCAACCGTCTCTCTTTATATAGATTTATAGATAGATATTGCGATAATATTGTGAATTGTTACATTGTACTATAAAATTCGTGTGAAAAATTCGACGTAGTCACATAGATAAATCATCAGCTCAATACAATAACAAACTAATCAGGCCAGACAAATTAAAAGCTTTGATAAGTGAAGCTAGCAAAGTGAAAATTGGAGCTTAATTGTGATTGGTCCCGAGAACCGACGGTTCGCACTAAATCGTGTGAAAAATAATGAAATTGGATTGACTTGACAAGCCCCCATGACTGTTTATCGCAAATTTTCATCCTGAGAAGAACAAGTTAAAAGGCAAAAGGAAAACTGCTTCCTAAGTGACAAGTGATATTAATGGGTCTTTCAATTTCGAAACTCTGTTGCATATATCCAATCTTGACTATAAATTGTATTGATCATCCTACGAAAGAAGACTCCTAATAAAGGAGTCCCTAGTATAATTAAAGAAATGGGATCTTTTTACGCATCTTGGGAGGATCTTGTTGGGATTTAAGAGAATTTATTGATATCATATTTACTTGAGAAAGCGTAATTTATAATTTTAGTTCGGTATGTTTCACTATTTTAATTTTTTTGTCCTCTTCGAATGGTGTTTTTGATTTTCGTCCCGTATGTTTGAAAAAATGTTATATAAAGGTCTTTTTCATACATAAGGGACGAAATTCAAATACTTTTTTGCAAAACATAAATAACCTTTTTGTTGCGAAAAAATTTTGTAACCTTTTTTCAAACGCGAACATACGAGACGAAAATCAAAAACACAATTTGAATAGGACGAAAAAAATTAAAATAATAAAACATACATGACTAAAATTATAATTTACTACTTGAGAAAAATATAAACATGTATGTTCTACACAAATATACGACTATAGGTGTGAAAACCTAATAAACAATTTTGGCATATAATTTCCACATGCGCAAGTTTATAATTTATCGATGAGTACACTAATTTGAGTGTTACAGACTTTTCACTGCGATTTTTTTACAGCGTTTTGCAAGTACCAAGAATCGATTCACGAGAATGAAACCGGGTCGTGGGAGAGATAATGCATCACACTTCACAAGAAAACAAGACTAAAATTGTCGTTATCTGATTAAAGTTGGAGCATGCCACCCTACTTAGAAAAAAAAAAAATCGTCATAAAAGTAAAAGACATACAAGGAAACTTGCATTAGAAATCAAGATAAAAAATTTCTAATGTCGGCGTCCGCCCCCAACTTGCTGAAAAATTTTCAACCTTACAATTGCAAATTGATCAATAAAGTCTTTAAGAGATTTATTCACTTGTTAAACTTTTATAAACATATTTTCTTGTTTCCACTTTAAGCTTTCACCACACTTGTTGACCACTGACGCATCATCTTCAATTGTATAACGACATTTCGTTTCTACTTTAATTACATGCAATTAATCCAAGTTCTATGTTGATTTGTATATAAAATTATATGATATCATATTATGCTATAATAGTTATTTGCACACGATAGAATATGAGGCAAACTGATATTTATATATTTTCTTACGAAAAAATCTATTTCATACTACAAACATGTTACACCTAAATATGTGGACGCCAGAAACATTTATTCTTAAGTGAAAATAAGAACGAAAAAGACATTAGATTCCAATGTTATTAATGTTATATAAACCATCGTTTTCAAAACCGAACCGGTAATCGAATCGGTGAACTTACCGGTTCAATAGTTCACTGGTTGTATCAGTGGTCGAACCGGTTTAAAAATATATATAATTTTTTATTAATTTTATATGTATAATATACAATTCAATATATTTTTATCATTAATTTTATAGTGTATAATCACATTTCTCTAAGTAAGAGTTCATAATAGATACAACCCATAATGTTGCATAATGTTGATAATTTTTTTTTTAATACTTTAGCCTATATATATAAAGAATTGTAATAACATGTATAAAACTATAAATTACATGTTGATTAGATGAAAAGAATGAGATTTTTATCACAATAATGCTACATGGGCTAAACATAATAAAAAGAATGAGTTTTTTTTAATGCTACATTTGCCTCAGACATCCAGTTTATAACATGTTTTAAAAACTGAACCGGACCGGCTGGTTCGACCGGTTTAACCGCGAACAATTCAAATCGATTGAGACTTGGTAAAACCAGGGAACCGGAAGCAGTCCGCATGGCCGAACGGTCACTGTGTAGAACCCTACTATGAAAAGCCAAAGTCAAAGTGTAAATAGCAGAACTTTTTTTGTTGTGTTTTCGATGTAGGACTTACCATGTGTTGTTTGTATTTGGGAAGGAAAGTGGGCCGTGAATATGTGATGAGCTCCATTGGGCCGATTTTAAGCCACCTCAATAGATTATTGATAGAATAAACATTGTTATATGTTAATGATTGGACTAGTCCTGGTAAAGGTCCGTTTATTGAAATAGTCATGTAAATGAAAAATAAAATTGTTTTTTGATCATCTGACCGCCGTCTACACCAGCTCATAATTACCGGCTACCTACGTGGAAATTCACTTAATTTTTTTTTTTTTATATTTTTTT